CCCGCCGCTGCGGCGGGGTCCGGGGCCGGCGCCTCGCGCACCGCCAGCTGCAAGACCGGCGCGCCGCAGTCCACCGCGCCGCACGGCAGCGCGTCCAGCCGCGCCGCCGCACCCTCCTGCCCGCCCGCGGGCCCGGGCGCGATCTCCGGCCCGCCGTCCTGCTCACCCCGCTCCTCCGCCTCACCGGCGCCGGCCCCTGGGCTGCCGGGACCGCCGCCCCGCACGTTCGCCAGCGCCGACGGCGCCTGCGGGCGCAGGGCCGTGAGCGCGACCACCTCGCCCGCGCGGCCCTGCACACAGAACACCAGCAGGGAGCCGCCGTCGCCTCCGCCCCCGCCCCCGCCACCGCCGCCGCCGGCTGGCCCGTCCGGCGCGAGGGCCGCCGCGAGGCGGCCGCCTTGCAGCGCGGCGGCGGCCGCGGCGGCGTCGGGGCCGGCCGCCTCCAGCAGCAGCGGCTCCAGCAGCGCGTGGGGGGCGAAGGCGTCGGCGTAGTGGCGGCCGAAGAACGCCATCGATGAGTCGACGTGCTCGAAGGGCCTGTGGGGTCGGGGCGGGGCCCCAAGGGGTGGTTGCTGACAGCGAGGGGGTGCGGCACAGCTGTCGGTTTTTGGGGCTTGGCCAAGCTAGCGGGGCGCGTGCTGCGTGGCCTCAGGGGCCACATAGCGCGTACTTGTGGTTGCACATACTTATATGTTGCGTTTGTGTGCGCACACACACACACACACACACACACACACACAAACACACGCACATGCACACGTACACGCATACACACACACACACAAACATGCCCGCTCGCACGCGCACACCGCTCACTCGCATGTATGCATGCACACACACACACACACACGCTTGCACACACTCACACGCCGATCCACACATATTCCACTCATTCACACACAAGGAACCTTGGACCCCACCCATTTGCCCACGCCAACACGCGTCCCCCACAAAACACAATCAGCAAACACGCGCAACCGCCTGATGTGCGCGATTTGGCAACCCAACCACCTGTACTCTTGAACCAGCTCATAGGGCGCAACCCAGCCATAGTCCCTCGGCCGCGCGCTCTCAACCAGCCCCGCCTCTCCAGCTTCCAGGACGTGGCCATGAGCGTGCGCGGCAGGGTCCACCGCCGTCACCACGCCAGATCTGAACGCGGCGCGGGGGCGGCGCCGGCGGGTGCGTACGGGCGGGCTGGTCGGGGAGTGAGCGTAGCGCGTGCCTGCGCGCCGGCGCGCCTGTGCAGCGCCTTGCGGCTACGTCTGACCAGTGTCTCTCGCAGCACCCTCCCCCGCTCCCTCCAAAGTGGTGGTGGTGGAGGGGGGGGGGGCGGCTGAGGCAGCGGCAAGCCGGCGGCCGAATGGCGCAGCTGTGCATAGCGCCAGCATGAGGCCCTGGCGCTTCATCCTGACGGTAATGGCGCCGCATACAATCAACCCTCCACTGTAGTGCCCTGCCCGAGCCGCACCCATCCGCCCATGGCCAGACCGCCGCGCCGAGCGCCCCCGCCGCGCCAATCAGCGGTGCAGCCTCGCATGGCTGCATGACCGCCACGACAGCCACTGCTCACGCACAACTTCAGCTATTTGACTCATGCCAGCTGCGATCAGAATATAAAAAAAAATCGAGGCTTGATCTGTCACCGTTGCAAGATAACTCAGGCAACGCAGGTTCCGGGGTACAAATCTGCCTGGATGCGCTTACGAGCGACTCCGTCTTTTCGTCGCAATCGGAAGTTGCTCGCGGGGTGACCGCCCGTAACAGCCGAAGCGGTGTTGTTGAGCTTTACTGCCGTTCATACGCATACAAAGCTGTATCTCTTTCCCGCGTTCCCTGTCCCGTTGGTTGCCAAGTCTCGCGGATCCTCTGCGCCCCTCCGACGACAGCCCACTCGCGTGCTAGCGCAACTCAGCGCCATGCTGGGACCTAGTATAACCAGAGGTCCTCGCGCCACGGCCGCTGAGCGCGCCGTGGCGCGTCCGCGCGCGTTTTCAGCTGCAGCACGCACGTTGGTGCGGGCGCGCTCCATTCCGGTGCCCGCTTCTGACATCATTGCCGCTGAGGACAGCGCGAAGCTGGAGAGCCTGCGCCAGAAATTCGCCATGGCCGACATCGACGGGTGAGGCGCAAGATCCGCAGGGGCGGGGTTGGGTGTCCGGCCCGAGCCGTGCGCTCGCCCCAGCATGCGCACTGCTGGCATCAAGCCCACGGCCGCGGCTGGCGGCGGCACGCGACGAACCGCCCGCATCCAAACAGAGCCCGTGGGCAGCGAGGCGCACTGCTAGCAGCGTCACCACCCTCTGGGGACCTCTGGTCATCGCTGTCGTCAACCTCCGACCCACAGAGCAGCCGCGCGGCAGCTGCACTCTCTCGCGGCCCACGCCCACACGCTCTCCCCTCCCCCACGCCTGCGCGCGGCCCCCACCGCCCGCCAGAAACGGGGAGATCGATAAGCGGGAGCTGCGGGCGCTGCTGGAGAGCGTGGAGGGCGGCCTTACGTACCTTATGGCATGGGTGAGGGCTGTGGGGCTGTGGGTAACGCACCGCGGTCGTTGGGTTTGGGCGTGGGCGTCAGGCCTCGGGGCCAGCGGGGCCGACTGAAAGCACACGCAGAGGCGAAAGCCCAAGCGCATGACCAACAGCGGCGGCGATCACCGCCGCTGGTCTTGGCTCGGGGCTCGGGGCCGCGCGGGCACGGCGTCTGCGGCGGTGGGCTTCGGCCGTGCGGCCGCGCTGGCTGTGCGGGGCGCACCTCACTCGTCCGGCACCACGCCCTGAAGCTCCCCCTGGGCCGGCCCCGGTCTGCCTGCCGGCCTGCACTTTCTTCCCCCTCTATCAGGAGGGCATGATGCCAGAGGCCAAGCTCGACGCCATCTTCGAAAAGTACGACAAGGACAAGAGCGGTGAGGGTTGGGGGGCTCGGCTCGCGCTTGGGGATGGGTGTGTGGTCTTGGGGGTTGGTGGGTCGGGCCGTGCGGCCGCCAGATGCGGAAGTGGTTTCTGGACGGTGAAGAGCACGGTGAAGAGCAACGAGGGGCCTGCGTCCCTGCCGCCAGCCGGGCCGTGGGGCGGCGAGCGGCGAGACCCCGGACCCTGCACCTGCCCCCCCGTCGGCCGCTCCTCAGGGCTCCCCAGCGCTCTGGGTCCCCCGGCCCCATCGCC